AGGATCAGCGCTTGCCGCAGTGAGTAATCAGCTAAGCTATGGCATGGATAAACGTCCTCAAGGTCCCCAATACAGTTAATTTCTGATTGTTGATCAGAAACTCGAACCGAAACGGTCCCTAACAGTGTGCTCGGACATTTTTTTTTCGGACATTTTCTCTAGGGTTTGTTTGGCTGCAGCCTGCTATAGGGTTGCGATGCATTTGTATAATGCTACTTACTCGCTACGTTCTAATAGATAGAGCCCATAAGTATTACCTTTGATCGATACATACTACGTTTCCCTTACGATCAAAATATATAGGGAATGGTAAGTATGACTGTGATTGTAGGTAACGTTTTGGTCGTTAACGTTGCAACACAGTCATTACAATGTCGCACCAGCAAATTCCAGCATTGTCATCATCAGAGGAGAAGGACACAATCTTCGAATACAGTACCTTTTAACCTATCGGAATTCGAATATTACTAGCGTTCTCTCTGGTCCTTGGGGGAGTCGTTGGATTACTGATTGGTATATTTATTCCAACTATGCGCCCTGGTGTAATAAGACTCACTTATGGGTCAGCTCCCGAAGAGGCTCTATCGCTGGGCTGTGAATTTCAATTATTCTCCTATGCATGGGTTCCCAAAAAATGCACTCAGCCGGGGATAGAAGCTGAGTTCCGTGCACTGCCTGGCCTTCGCTACTATAGTACATCGGATGGGTCGCAAGAGGTGGATGTTACAGAGGTAGCAAAAGGAGAAAGCCATTTATGGACTAATATCGTCGAGCACGATGTTCATTGCGAGCTAGTGCTCCGCAGTCTAGCAATGGCGTCATTGTCAGGTGTCTATACAGGGAACATTTTGGATCTGGAACATTCCAATCACTGCATAGACTCTCTTTTAACTGCAAAAAATTGGTCGATGGATGAGCTCAACACTCAGGTCGAAGTTGATTTTTTGAGCTGTACTGTTCTTCGTACCCCAATCATATATAACGTAGTTTACAAGCGAGTGACGCGTACAAGCGAGTGACGCACCCCACCAACTTTGCGCACCTCTAAAGCTATATAACTCAACAACGCAATAGTATAATATATAGAAACTAGTAAAGTAGATTAAGTACTAGCTAGAGTATCTTTCTTACATGTACGTGAGTTATGGCCAGTCTCTCTACACCTACTACAGCGCGCTAGAGCCTGGCGGCTGACACCTGATCGCTCCCCTCCCTGACGCTCTTCATCAGCAATCTG